GTCGACTGGTATGACAGAAGAGAGGAAGTGAGAGATGCGTTTTTGACGAGCTGGAATGCTTACAAGAAACACGCATGGGGTAAGATGTCCTACATGACAAGTCGTCCCGTTCTTCGAATTCAACTAATGCGCCGACTCTTTTCAAGGTAACGATGTCTTTCATCCTATGTCCAAGAGAGGAGAAAACATGTCTCCCAAGGGTCTAGGCTGGATCATCGTCGACAGCTTGGACACAATGATGCTCATGAATTTGACCCAGCCCCTCGCTGACGCCAGGAGATGGCTGCACCGCAGCCTCACTTGGGACCAAGAGCAAGACGTAAACACCTTTGAGACCACGATCCGTATGCTGGGCGGCCTTCTATCTGCACACTATCTCTCAACCCAGCTGCCGCATGTCGCATCCAAAAGAGACTCTGTTTATCTCTCGAAGGCGATCGACCTGGCGGACCGGCTCCTGGTGGCGTTTGACTCCAACTCTGGGATCCCGTATGCGAGCGTCAACATCGGCAAGAGGGAGGGCATCACCTCGCATGCGGATGGTGGGGCTTCGTCCACGGCTGAGGCTGCGACTGTACAGCTTGAGATGAAGTATCTTTCCCACTTGACTGGAAATGACGTTTACTGGAAAAAAGCAGAGCGCGTCATGAAGGTGCTGGATGACCAGAAGATGGAGGGTGGACTACTTCCCATCTTTGTGCATCCGAGCCACGGACAGTTCACGACGAGGGAGATTCGGCTCGGAAGTCGAGGTGACTCGTACTATGGTAGGATCGAGCCCACTTTGTGAGATAGCTCCGAGACTGACGCCTCATAGAGTATCTTGCGAAGCAGTACCTCCAAACAGGCGAATCCATCTACCGCGACATGTGGGATGACGCCTTGGGCGGCATCGCGAGACACCTCGTCACGACAACGCGGAACGCAGCACTGAAGTTCGTTGCAGAACTTCCGACCGGCGTGGGAGGACCGCTATCTCCCAAGATGGACCATCTCGTCTGCTTTCTTCCGGGCACAATCGCCATGGCTGTGAGTTTCTCAAGTCTCTCATTCTGTCATGTACTAAGGATACAACCGGCTGAACCCCGCCATGACAGGCAACAGAAGGGCGGCCTCTTGCGGAAGCCCGTCGTGACCCGGGCTGGACGGCTCAGCACGAAGACGACATCGAACTCTCGATCGAGATCATGAACACCTGCTGGGGCATGTATGCCGTCACTGACACTGGTCTCGCCCCCGAGATTACGTGGTTCAACGCCACAGAAGCAGACTTACAGCCCGGACCTGGCGACAGGTGGCTACGTAAAGAAAGCAGTGGTACGTTGACGACTCTCTTCCAACCTTCCCAAGCAAAGGAGCCTTGTGCTAATATAATGGTTAGTACTGTCGAAGTGGAAAAAGGACTTCATCATCAAGCCCCTCGACGCTCACAACCTGCAAAGACCCGAGACGGTAGAGAGTCTGTTCATGATGTACCGCATCACTGGCAATGCCATGTACCGAGAATGGGGCTGGAAGATTTTCCAATCGTTCCAGAAGCATACTTTGGTGCCCGACGGAGAGGGGTATACTAGTATGAATGATGTACGGACGGTGCCCGCGTCGACGAGGGATAATATGGAGAGTTTCTGGCTGGTAAGTTATATATTAAGTGGTCGAAAAACAAAGTTACATACAGAGCAGACTTCGAGCTGACGTTGCCGACTGCAGGCTGAGACTCTGAAGTATTTATACTTGCTATTCTCGCCGACGGACTACATTCCATTAACAGAGGTCGTCTTCAACACAGAGGCTCATCCTTTTCCAAGGTTTACGCCAAGGAGTTCTTTAAAGACTGGCTGGGAAAGGCTGCCGCGATGACAGCCATTCAAACAATCTTTGGAGCTAGGGTTGGTATAATTACGTGTAGGCGTAAAAGCTTGACGGAAAGTGGTTGGATTTACTCTTCACTTTCATCTTAGCTAGAAAGGATGACCCTTGCCAAAAGGATGCAAGCTACGCCACCGAGGGGAAAGATAGTAACCAGAAGATCTATAGAGCCTACGGGCAAAAAGTCTCGGTTTGAACAACCAGTCTGAACGGATGCTCCACCTTCTTGACCTTGCAACATTCTCACATCTATCATGCTAATTTGTCTAATTACAGACTCATAGAAATAGACATTTGTGTGAGGATTGGGAAGACTTTTGCTAGGCCAAGAGTATGATTGCCCGTTGTGCTAGTGATAGACGTCTGTGATCACAAGATTACCTGAGCTACTCTAGGGGTTTCGGCGAGTTGCAGAAAATCCGGTCATCTTGACTTTGCTGATAACCTCAACGACACGAGGTAGGTTCATTAGGAGAGGAATCGCTGTGACAACCGAGTCCACGGTGAGACCTAGGTCTGGAGTTTCACGCCGTTCCCTTGTATGAGTGGCTACGAGCACCAACTTAAAGTGAACCTCAGAGTCTCGGAGACTCTCGCACTCGGTTTCAAACCGAGATTTAGAAGGCCGACTTGAAAGTGTTCAATTATAGGTAATTGCTCGCCCGCGATTGAGTTTCCTGTTCATATGGAGAAGGCGATGGATGGAGACAATACCCCACCTGATTCCGCGGAGCTAAGGAAGCTAGGGCGACATTAGACCTGACTGAATGTAGTGCATCATTGCGCATGTTGGATTTCGGCAATCAACCCAAGCTATTTAAACCAGGAAACGTGTTCAAGCTTTGGAGGCCGAACCGAAAGCCATTGCCAAACCCTCTGTCCAAGTTTGGGGTATTGCAGAAAGTTCTCCGAAACTCGTTGGAGACGTCGAGACGTCACAAAAGAGTGACGGCAATCAGAAATTCGATCAAAAGCCGTAAGGGAATCTAGAGTTGACTTTTCGATAGCCAGAATTAGATTCAGAGCACTCACAAATCACACGACCAAACAATGTCATCCCAAAAAGAAGAAGAAAAAAGACCGAAAAAAAAACAGCCAGCTTCCCTGGTTACCCCCCAAGAGGCGTTTCGCCAGGCGGATATGGAACGGTAAAGTATCCGGTGAGTTGCCGCAACTATCGGTGTTTATGCCGCTCAATAGCCGCTGAAACCCGGGCGCGTTGGTCCAAAGTGACAAAAAATGGTCACGCTTTCGTCCAATAGTAGCAAATTTCTCCGAACTCAACTCCACGTCTACACGTGTTGCCACGCAGAAAGTTGCGGGTTCATGAGACGAGTCAGTACTGTGTACATGCAATGCGCTACTTTAGTCTGGATCTTGGACCATCTGGGTAAATTTGGGGGCCTCGGGGGAGTCTTTGCTCTCTAATAGAGGGGCTATCATTGTGAGCTTGCGGTGCTTGCCATCACGCAAATGGCTGCTGGGATCATGTCAGCAAGCCAAGTTCGGGGTTCTTTCCCCTCCCCCGCCCCCTCCCCCACCTTGACGACGCCAACGACAAGCCCGGATGGCTTCGTTTTTGACGTCGTCGAGTGGGCGAGTGGGAACTTGGTGCGGATTTGGCGCTGTTCCCCCACCATCCCACCCATCCACCCCGTCCACAGTCCATGGAATATCCAGTTACCCCCGCTTACACGGAAGCTGTCGCGCGCGTTGTGTTTTATTGGATCGCGGTCTCTCCGTCATCGGTATGCCTTGCCCCGAGGTTAGGTAAAACCAGACGTGACCCCTCGCTCATTTTCTTCCAGATGCTCTCGTTTTTTCTGGTGTTTCTTCACGATCTCTTCAGTGTTCAGATTCTCCTCTCATACCACTCATAATGTAAGAGCCTCCTGTGCTATCCAAGCTTCCAATTGGGGACCAAAATCACTAACACACCAACCTCTAGATCTCATAAACCCTCAACACCACACACGTCACAACCATGAAGCTCCTCTACCCCACCTCCCTCAAGCTCGACGTCGACAGCCTCCAGGGCTTCTCCGTCGACCTCGTCCCCTACGACGTGAAGACCACCATCCCCGAGGAGCACACAGACGCCGAGATCCTCGTCACCTGGACAAACTCAGCCGACAACCTCAAGGACGCCGCCGCCCGCCTCAAGAACATCAAGTGGATCCAGTCCCTCGCCGCCGGCCCCAACGACGTCCTCTCCGCCGGCTTCGACACCTCCAAGGTAACAGTCACCACCGGCTCAGGCCTCCACGACCACACCGTCGCAGAGCACGCCCTCGGCCTCCTCCTCAACGCCGCCCGCCGCTTCTACGAGATGCGCGACTACCAGCTCCAGTCAAAGTGGCCAGGCCACCTCGGCGGCCCGCAGCCCGACCGCCCCGCCAACGCCTTCACCACCCTCCGCGACGCCCGCGTGCTGATCTGGGGCTTCGGCAACATCGCCAAGTCGCTCACCCCGCACCTCCGCGGCCTCGGCGCCCAGGTGAAGGGCGTCGCGCGCAACGCCGGCATCCGCGATGGCGTCGAGGTCTACGGCGAGGACAAGCTCGCCGAGCTCCTCCCCGAGACGGACGCCCTCGTCATGATCCTCCCCGGCTCCGAGTCCACCAAGAACGCGCTCAACGCCGCGCGCCTCAAGCAGCTGCCCAAGCACGCGTGGATCGTCAACGTCGGCCGCGGCACGTCCATTGACGAGGAGGCGCTCGTGGACGCGCTCGAGGCGGGCGAGGTCGGCGGCGCGGCGCTGGATGTGTTTGTTACCGAGCCCTTGCCCGAGTCGAGCCGGTTGTGGAAGGCACCGAATGTTGTCGTCTCGCCGCATGCTGCTGGTGGAAGGCCGCAGGGCGCGGAGGCGTTGATTGCGTATAACTTGAGGCGGTTCCGTGCTAGTCAGTCGTTGAAGAATGTCATCTAAGGTGCGGCGGCTTTTTTTGAAGTGAAAAAATGGATGGAGAGCGTGGTTTGGTGGATAATAGACATGATTGATACAATGCTCAATACAAAACGACCTTCATGATTCCAGAGTTTGACTTATGCGTCGCCCCTTTCTGCCCTTGCCCAGAACTCAACAGAGTGTCACACCATGATCCCTCTCCGTCAGCTGGGTATCATCTCGCTCAAGAGTCAAACGGCTCCGCAATCTTCTTCGCCCAGTAAACCTCCTCAGTCCACGACCACACCGTGACGTCAAGCGTTTCCTTCCAGTTATTTGTCTTCTCCATCCACGCTTCATGACAAGCCTTCTGGAGGTCCTCTCGAGTCATCCCCTCGAGGTTCTGGTGGAACTTGCCATTCTCAAGCTGGCACCAATCCCGGAGCAATCGGCAGCGATCCTCTGCCGATGTGCGGCAAACCTCCCGGTGCAGCCATTCGCTTACCCGGAACACAGTGTAGTCCGGGATGGAAGTCAACGGCACCACATCAAACTCCTCAGCGCAGAGGGCGAGCTGCTCCCGTGTGAGCTCCATCTCGTCTCCCATGCCTCCCATGGTCGCATACTCTCCATCAGCATCAAGTCCAGGCTCCCGCAGGTCGAAGCCCTTGAAAGCTTTGGTGAGCTTCATGCTTCTGCCGGTGATGATGATCGTTACGGCCCATTTCAAGATGAGGTCGTACGTCTTGGCCAGAATCAATCTGCTCTCCGGTTCGTCAACGACGCCAGGGTTATAACCGAGAACCATGGCCATAACAAAGTGGCCGCGGCGGTGTACTCGCCCAACCGTGGAAATGCTGACTGTATCCGGGATATGATGCGCTCCCCGGGTTACGTCCCACTTCAGATCCGAGAACATCTTGACGGCAGAGGGAACGATGACTTCAAAGGCGATGCCGTGGGGAGGCACTCTTCCGGGGAAGACGTTGTTCCACGTGTCTTCGCGCAAACGCGCGGCGACTTTGTCGTGGTCACGCACAAGGTAATTCTCCGGTCTCATCAAGGTGAGACCCAACTTCTTCCGCTCCAGGGCGGGAAGGTCGTACTTTTGCTTGATGGCGTCCTTCAAGCCGTCGAACCAGGCGGAGGCGTCTTCTGGGGTCTTGGGCTTCACGGCTGGTTCGAAGTCGATCCACGGGAAGGTCTCGTGGTCGCCGTTTTTGGCGACTAGGAGGCGGTTAAAGAACGTCAGCAGAGGGTTTCGGACTTGATGTCTGCGGCAGTACTCACACTTCTCATGGATGAAGTTCCACACATTGAAATCAATATACCAGGCGAACCATGCAGTCGAAACGGAATCGCGACCCTCATGGATCAGTGATCTCGCCATTTGGTATGCTCTCGCGGCCTTGACGCGTTCGTAGTCGAATTTGCGAGGGATCCCCAGTTCCCTGAACTTTCCTTCGACGATCTCCGCTCGTCCTTTCGCTGCGAGAGCGATGTTCTCATCTTCCTCGCTCTCGTTCATCATCTTCTTCGATGGATCTGTGCTTGTTGGTTTGCTCTGAGTCTGCGATAATTATTGCGATGGCTTTTCGTGGGAGGGGGGAAATTCTGGGGGGAAGAAGAAACAACTGTAACTTGTAACGATATTGTGGAGGAAAGAAGTGATGAAGCAAAGGAGGGGAAACTGGAGGCAAGCACCTGGGTTTTTTATTTGTCTCGTGGCAGCGAAAAGGGTTTTCTGACTGATCTTTGCCCGTCTGCTTGACCAAGCGCGGGAGCACCTCCCGTCTAGCTTAAGGTCATAGATGCCGACTAATCATTCTCAACCGTGTGACCTGCGGTACCTTAGGCTCTATTGCGTCTTTCTTGAATATTGTTAAAGCAGGCGTTTTCAGAGAAAGACTCTTCCTTTCAATACCGTCTTGAACATGTAAATGTCTGGAGATGACAAAGTATTGCCTGAACACGTAGCTGTGAATGAGTTGGAAAAGGTACTTTCAATGGCTCTTGATACCCAATGATGGGACCAAAAGTTGCCAATGGCCTGATGTCAACGAGTGTTCTGAAGTCCCGATGATGTTTTCGAGTACCTCAAGATTATGAATCAGAACAAATCAAACCAATGACATACTTCAGTTCAGTATTGTACAATATAATACTTCTTAGCCACTCAATGTCCGTCGAGAATTGTTAAGTGTAATGACTTAAGAACTAGGCGTTCTCATGAGTTCGAGTAAATGACTTCTTCTTGATAATTGCAGCAGCAGATGTATTTGGTTGGCCGAGTGTTAAAAAGTTCGATGGCAAACCAAAAAGACACAAATCTTATAGGCCTCTGGTGTACGTTATGAGCAGTGTCCTTCAGCTCTGTCATAATCCTGGGCCTATTATGATCTTGCAAGGGTTAAGCAACCTTTTGCTCCTGAAGTAGTCTTTTGGGAATCACTCAGTGATAAAATACAATAGACTTGAGCACCTGAAGCTCGTCATACCATGGACAATACGCCCGTTTGACGTCTCAGTCAGTGCCAATCTCCTCTTCTGTCCAGATATATACCTAAAGTATGCGTGATGACTTGTTCCAATTTCTATCACATTATGAACTAGAATCAACGAGTTCGGAATTCTTAAGCTGTTTGTCCGGTTTAGACATATATACGCTGTGTTCCTTTTCAATTTCAGATGCGATATGTTTCTAAGACACTTATTCTCACTCGTGACTTGGATTATCGTCTTGAAATTCAAAAATTGATGCTTGATTTTCCTTCGGATCCTATCGTGCGCAACCTGTCACATGGATTTCAAGAATATGTGATTGGGCCTATTAACTCGTTCTAAGAATCGATGGAGCTCTCATCCAATGAAGAAACATGCTTGAAATGCCTTTGACTTGAAGTTCAACGACCATCATGTTGCATTCTCTGACCACACTTGTATCGTACCATTTGATCTCAAAGAAGTAATATCCCCGAAAAGAATTGGGAATTATGTCAAAATAAAGTGATCAACACATATTTGTCCTCTTGTTAGTATCGCAACTTCACAACAGAGACTCTGTGAAAATTGCCGATTGCTTACATTCTGCACCTAGAGAATCGACCAACCAGTCAAAGGAGCTTCATTACAATCTAGAAACCTGAGCCTAGTACCAAACGCACTTCCGATATCATGCTAGCCTTTTTCGCACTGGAGAAAATGCTTTCTGCCTCTTCCGAAGAATACGTGGGTAGCAAGGCTGCCGGACAAAAAGTCAGGATGCAACCATCTCCCTAGATCCGCAGCCTGCTTGAACCCTTGACACCCAGTCACAAGGCTGCAGCAAAATTACAATTTAGTCTTCAACATGATTGGAAGTTCCAGACCGAAACTTGACGTGTGACAAAGATGCAGCACACCGCCCTCTATCCGATGGCTTTTAATTCATGACGGTCATTTGATCACCGGCATGAGGTTGCCTGCCTATTATACCTTTTTTGGGGAATGCTGCCCTTCCCGGACAAGCATCTCAGAGATCATGTGCAATGCGCATCCGACTACCAGATCTGGAAAGTCTCACATCCTTGCGATCTTAGGGGGATGGCTTTCGATCACAATCAATGTAGGCCAAGCGACCATTTTTCAGCCGGTCTCGGTCTGGGAGAGCACATATGTGCACACACAACCTTCTTTGCGATTTTTCTTATTCGTTGTTAAAGTTCTGTACATGAAAGCAATAATCTGATACTTCATCTGTTGTCTCTTAACATATCTCAAGTTCCAATTTCGGTGACACAGTAGTAGTCCCATCGGCCACAGACTGCAGATTGACAAAGTGTAAAGCAACATTTGGTAAGTATTCCTCGGGTAGATGAGTTGATATTTCGTAGTCGTAGCTTCTACATACATATTGTGACAGTTGCCTTACTTTTGCCTGCCCACTCACTGTCGTATAATTCACAATCAACTCACGACAGCGTCAGCTATTTGACGGGGAAATGATCTGACTCGAGAAGCAGAGAAGGCTGAGGAAAGTGCATCAATTCGAGGCACCCACACGCTAGATGCGCGGCGCTAATGATTCGTGAAATCGCCTTTCGATTCATCAGTGAACACGTCTGGAGTTTTAACCCTTCTTTCCCTCATGTCTGCATATGCAAATCCATGTCTAGCCTTACAACCACCTTAGAAGCAAAAGTGGCTTGCATGTTAAGTGCATCCACATCCTTTCATTGCGATGGCTGCTGCTTCTGCTTCAAGTCGGAATCTCCCTAGCATTTACATAATGGCTCTCGAATCGAGATACTGTGGTTAGTCTGGTGACTCTGGCCCTTGATATCTCCCATTCCGTTCTCACACGCCGTAAATGCGCGCTCTTACCCAAAATATCCTCTGGAACAGTGAGACAGCATACTGGATCTGGTGCCTCGTAACCTGACCTGCTCGCTTCACTGGTGTAGGGCCCCAACTCGTTTCCAGTTGATATCAACTCAAAGGCTGTCCATCACTGAGGTACCAATCGAGTCAGATCATCAACCGTTATCCAATTCCTGACCTACATGGATGTGGGAAGCACGCCACACCGAGATGCAGCTTGGCACCCTATCGCGGGAGGCCGGGAATGCGGGCGTTAAGATTTGTCTTCCTCATAAAGGTGATAGGCTCGGATGCCCAATCTGGCTTACCGGTATGCGGCCACATCGCCTACCCAAAGCCGCGGCTAGCGCAACCGCTCTGCCGCTGCTGCATGGGCTACCTGGTTTTTCCAGACTTCCCCGCATTCTTCTAGAGCCTTGGATAGTCATCATCGACCATCAATCATGAACTTCAATGACCCGACAATGACAACACCACGAAAGACAGCCAGATCTTGCTACAGACATACCTAGAAAAACAAAGTATCGAACTGATTGAATCGCAGATCACAAAGATATCTCCACAAATGGTCTCTAGGTGGCAGATTGAAAAGTCACCAAGGTTATTGAAAGCTTACTTTATCATTGGCCAAATAAACGAGCCGGCTGGAGTTAATGTTGTTGCCTAAAGGTACGGCGAACCACTAGATTCACAGCGTGACTGCATCAAAGGCGCTGTTCTAGATCGAAGATCGGGCTGTGCAAACATGGAACTAAACCCCTCATTCTTGATTGCGAGCTTCAAATTCAAGTTTTCCGCAGATCATGAGATAAGAGCTTTCGTACATGCAATTTGGATCCAACGAGAACGAGCTTTTCCTGACTCTCAATGGAGCTCATCTTTGCATTTCCAGTCCTAATATTGACATTGTCTGGTTGATTAAGAAACCGGGGCAACGGCAGCTTCGGTGTAACTCATAGTAATTGTGACGAGGCTCATGCCATAGAAATGGAGGGTGGCCAGAAGGGTGCCGCGTGCGCGCGTGCGCGCATCACCATGCATGGGTCGATGAAACCACACCATGTTGCTTGCGGGCGTTATGTCCGTCCGCAATTGGAAATTACTTACTGCAGGAGAAATGCGCCAGCCATTCAGCCCATAGAAATAACGCAAAAGAATTCCTCTTAGATATCATGGAACAGTGTGCCCCATGACGACTTTACAAATGGTAGACTGTGCCTAATGTCTCGGAGTCGAAGCCATTACGTTTGCAAAGGTTTCATTTTGGTGCCTAGCGTCAACTTAGACGAGGGTTTCAAGAGCTCCCTTTTGTAGGCTACTGAAGGGTGATAAATCATGGAGTGGTGCCTCGTGGAAGGCACGAGATGTTCACATGGGACCGCAGGGGTTGGATGTGATGATGCATGTTCCGGGCGTGGAACCGTCTGATGCGCTTCCAGGGAATGGCTTGCAAGGGATAAGGCAACCAAATCAAAACTCGAATCCGAGCTATCAAAGTTTCGGGACTTTTGACAGGCAGGGGCGTTAGCTCCAACCTGAACATTGACCTCTCGAGACAGCAACGAACACTCAAGCGTGAAATTGAAACATGGGTTTTGGTATTAACAGAACCCGTCATTGATGCCGATAGAATGCACTTTGCTGAAAGGCGTCTTGAATTACTCCGACTCTGACCATGAAGAGGGAGACCCTCTTACGCTGACGATCCCATGACCGCATCGGACTTTACGCCCGAAAAGCACCGTCAGCACCAAATGCTAGTTAGTCCGAAGGAAGCACTTTTTTCTCACCATCGCGTTGAGAATATTAGCAATCAATTCTAAACTTGGATTCTACCGAAGCATTGCCTATTTGTAACGGAGGACGGGCTTCTCTGCTGTGACAGCAATGCAAAACTTGAAATCATTTACTTCCTTTGGCGGAGTCTTTGACATCCATAACTACTTGAACCATGGAATAAGGCAACCCCCCGCCTGCTAGGCACCAAATGCAAGGCAACGTCCGTGGTCCAACGCCAACCTCCGGTTCTCGGACAAGGATGCGATATTAAACGCACGTCCATGCGCACAATTAGCGTCAGTACGGAATAGGGACCCGAGAAATGAGATCAAATCAATTGAGTACTACCACTGCTTTCAGCGGCCCGGACGAGTCCCGAGGGAGATGCGGGTT